TCAATCCTGAACCGTAAGCCCTATATCCTAAAAACCTTAAACCCTAAATCCTGAACCCTAAGCCTTATATCCTAAACCCTTAACCCTAAATTCCTAAAGCTTAGAACCAAACCCTAAACCCTCAAGCAGAACCCTAAACCCTAAATTTTACACCCAAACCCGAAGCCCTAAACCAGAACCCTAAACCCTGAACCTTAGACCCAAACCCGAAACCCTAATCCGTAAACCTTCAACTCCAAAAACTTGAAACCCCTGCAAAACCGCCGGAACCCTAAAGCTTAGAAGCAGACCCTAAACATGTGAATGTGGCACAACAGACCAAAAAAAAGACATTTTGACACAAAAAAAAGACATTTTTGATCACAGACTCGGTCAACTTGTCGCGACATGTTACATTTTAGCTTAAGAGTGACTTGCCCCACTGACACAGCACAGAGCACCACGCTGTGCCAGACAATCCGTAAACACAGTGTCTCGTGCTCAGCTGGTCAAATCTCTTCATGCCTTTTCAGATGGTTTTCTCTGATCCTACCAGCACTTTTTCAGCTTCTACCTCATCGTACTTTGGGGCGCATGTTGTGGATATGTGCTCGTTTATTTGTACAGGCAGTGCTTTCTCATCGCGGCTTCTTTTTCATCAAATTGTTTAGAAAAAACCTCTTTCAGGCCTGTCACATGCCTTTTGAATATTCTTGGGAGCTGCACAGTTGTGCATTGGATCTGCAGGACAAGCGGTGCACCGACGTGAACTTGCCCGATGCAGGAAATTCATTCAGCTGCGTCGAGGTCGGATCGCGAACTAGGAACCAGCCTTGAAGATATGATTTCCTAACATCAAGGCAACGTTTGCCAACGCATTTGCTCTACGCACATATGCCCCAGAAGTGGAGAATCGATTTGCCATGGAACGCATGGGCAGGTTCGTTGCTTAGCAAACTTCGTCTACATGAGCGTCGCTTCGTGCTGCCACCCGCGTCTACAGGATGGCGATTACAGGATGGCGATTTGTACAGCGAGCCAAGAGACATGCCAGGTATCGTCATCACAGTGTCTCTCCCTTGCATGACTCCGCCATGATTTTCAGTTCATCGTATCGGCTGGATTCCAACACTGTCCACAAGTTCCACGAGGCCAGTTACCTCGGTCTCGCGAGAAAGATCTTTCCAGTTTGTATCTTCGGGCAAGATTTCTGAAGTTCTTGGATGAACCTACGAGTCTTCTCAGCAAGAAGCTGGAATATCGACAAGGTGATCTTCCACCCAGGAACACACCATGATGTTGCTGCCGGCACCTCATGATCTGCAATCAGAGGTGCGGTTTCTCATTCGATCACTGATCACTCATTCAATCTGAACGTTGTACTGTTCCATCAGTTGCCAACGTCTGCAAACACAGGTCTGAACTTTGCAATTGGACCCGGAGCTAGCCTCCCTCCTGCACTTGTTCTCATTTGCGTCCGAACAACCAACCCTTTGAGGCCCATCATGTGCGCAGTGCGAGAGTTGATATCAGTTGATACCTGAGTTCGCCTTGGCCTCGGCGAATCTTGCGGACACTACACGTTGTTCAGGCATGGAGCAACGGTGGAAGCTGCCTGTGCGTTGGGAGCCTAAGATACATGGTTGGGTACATGGACAGTGGCGCACGCGTGAGCAAGCTTGTCAGGAAGCACAAGGACAGGCATGGACTCTTCAGACACTGCAACCGGAACTTGGGCCTTTACATGGCATAATGCGAGGACCTGCGCGTTGTTACCCGAACTCGCTGTTCGTTGGTTGCCCAGCGCAGTATCATTCACTCCTGATGCGGACTGTTGGTGATGCCACAGTCTTTCGACCAGGGCCATGTAAGAGTGGTACAGCATCCATCCTGAAGGACTAGAAGCGACTAGAAGTGGGCTTTCAGCTGGAATCCAGGCCTCCCTCGCGCTAGGACATGTCATTGAGCTCACCCAGTTTTTATGACACCTTCCTGCAGATTCAATGCGCCAGCATGGGTTCGCCACTTGCGCCAGTGTCGTGCGCCTTGGTCGCCGCCGAGCAAAATGTTTCTTGTTTCAGGGCCAACTTCAGGATGCAGGCTTACTTCACTCCTTTCGTTATGCAGACAACAGATGCTTCTTCTTGCGTCATTCTGAACATCAAAGAGATTGGGCTCAGCTGGCTCTTCAATTGGATTTCGACGGATTACCCATTGAGCTGGAAACAGTACAGCAGGGCATTTGCAGCGATTCTTGCCTGGCAGGTCTGCGTGCACACAGGACTTCCATTCCAATATCCTTCGGCCATGAGCTCAGGATTTGACCCCACCAGTTACGCGCTTGTCCTCGCCCAGCATGTCAGCCAGATTCCAAATGATGTCACTTAGCGAATAGCCAGCTTTCTTGGTACATTGACACTCAGCCTTCGCTTTATGGATGGTGTGACACCATCTGCACGAGTTTGGCCTCTCGTGTGGGAAGATGCTATTGTTCGCGCCCAAGTCGAATTCGAACTGCAGCACAATTCCTGGACTGTGGTTGTGTTCGTGCACGCGTATCAACACGTCCACGATAGCCAGGTGAAACCCATGTTGACAATTGCGTGTTCCAGCATAATTTTCAATACTAAGGACATTCCGCGAATGAGCAGAAAGATCGACAGAGCGTGGGATATGCATAAGTCATCCTATCAGGAGAATACCTTTGTCGACATAAAATTTAGCTGGAGCAGATTCGACTGATTCGACCGGTCCAGGTGAAAGCACCGATTCGTCTCGACTGACACAGGTTCATGGACTCGCTGCTATCTCGCGCAAAAGAACTGAGATGGCAAGGTTCGTTCACATGTGCGTCTGTGAAAAACCATGATGCTTAGCAAAGCTTCGTGAGATTGAAACATGGTCGTCGGCAAGGGAGTGTGCAAGTGAGTGCATGGGATTGCTCTATGTTGTGCGTGAGCCTCAGATTCAGCGCGATTTCGTCCATGTAGGGGACAGGAGGAGCGCTGCTGTGAGATTATAAGGGGTTATATGTTTACTAAGGACCGTACCTATCAAGCCGAATACTCTGAGTTATTCCTAGCCATGAGGCGCACCGCAGCACAAGCAGGATTCCTTGCAAAGTCACACCTTGAGCGCTTCGAAGTGCACCGCCCAGACGCGGTAGCAGCCCTTGATCGTCCATTTAACGTGGCACCCATCCCACTCATCTGATGCCGTCGACCAGGTCAAGCATATATTGCAGCACAGGATGTGCGACATCACTGGTCGCAGACCGCAGTTGCTTTCCTTACCAGGGTGGGCGTCATGTACCTTAAGCCAGTGACCGAGCTAGTGATTTTCGTACGAGTGGCACCTGATCAGTGGAAAATGATTTCTTCGCCTCGTTCCCTAGTGGAAAGGGGGTGTGTGGGCAAACAGTTGGATGCCGGCTCGAGAAGGCTACAGAAACCCGTAGGTGATATCGGCCATGGACTCAAAAAGTATTGATATTGACTCGGACCTTGGTTCGTTGTCGGATTCCGCTGGGTTGCTGGAGACTCAATCGACTGGTTCCGAGACCTCCACAGGCATTCCGTCAGAGATTATTCCGTCAGGGATTGTTACAATGGTGTTCATGGGACTGTCTGAATTTGGCAGAAAGCGAGTCTGAGGACCCGTGCTGTTCGAGTCAAAGTGGTCCTGTACATCCGAGGAAACATGAGGTGAATACGAATGGGCCGGTTCGCAAACGCTTGAGGTCTAACGGTGCCATTCTCGAGGTGGTGCCATGCCCTAAGAAGCAGCTGGTCAGAGGCCAGCACAACCGGAAGCCTTCTTTTCATCTTGCGTCACAAGCGCGCAGATCAGCAGCCGTGTTTGCGCCTGTGCAATCACTTGTTGCATTGAATATGTACGGACTGGCGGTGCGTGTGCGAGCAAGCAAGATTCTTCCATGTTCAGTTCAGCACTCAGTCCTGTGAGAATCGCGGTGCCAAACCCCCCTGAAGAGGGTGTGAGTGTGTGTGTGTAAAACTGATGCTAAGCTAAAGGTCCAAGGATACAGTTCGATGCAGGGGCAGGGGGCCTGAGGCTCACAGACAGGACTCAGGCCAACGAAGACACCTTTGTGCTGACTGTGATATGATCCAGGAACGCGAGGATGACTTACTTGCCTTTTCAATCTAATGGCAACCAGGCTGAGCCGAGGACCTGGAAGAAATCATCATTTAATTGCCACAGGTTTCAGATGAGTACTAAGGTTTTGCAGATGATGGAAGAAGTGGCCGTAATTTTGCCTTCAACTTTTTTCTCAAACCATTCTCCGTGTGTGAGTATGAAATTTTCAGTTTGAGCTTGGTATCAATAAAACCCAACGCTCGTCCGTGGGAAGGCGGACCCGCCCAGGGTTGAGGGAGTTTAGGGTCTAAGATCATAAAGTACCAACCCACATTGCCCGCAGCCTTGCCAAATTATCCGTAATTCCGTACCGCTTCGGTCCTTGAAAACCCCTGTGAGGTGCACTTCTACGAATCCGGGGGACACGCCTCAGCCTCGGCACATTTATGCGAGCAAAGCCTAGTGTTCAACGCACATCGCCAAGGCTTCCCTACGCTTGGAGTACCAAGGGCCGGACACGCACAACAAGAGGGTGATCGTGCCAGGGCTCCCCGGCTCCCGGCGTTGAAGCTTTTGGTGTGGCATGGCTGAGTGCAGAAGTGAGGGTTACAAGTAAAGATCTCTCGTTGTTTCAGCTCTGGTCGGCGTTTCGAATGCTGCCTTGGGGCAAGCTGGCACCTCCAGGCTTGACCGCTCTTTCGTGCAATGCAGTCTACTCCAGATGCAGTCTTCTGAGGACCGCTTTCGCTCACATGGCGGCTCCTTCGCTGCCCATAGCATTGACGAGTTGTGGGGCGACGCGAGGGGCGACTTTAGGGGTGGCTTTCCTTGCGTGGCACAAGAAAGGTGAAAGGTTAGTCAGACAAATTTATTGAGATTCTGTGGAGCGTCGCTCTCGGCTGAAAGTCACCGAAGACTCTCAGGATAAGACAATGTGGATGCCGACCTCCGCAATTGCACGTGGCTGCATTGGAAACACGGCCCTGGGCTCCCTGCGACTGGGCTCTCTGGGCCACATAGGAATTTGAGGTATCGGCGAGTTCCGTAATTTGTTGGAGATTCAAGATGTTTTGGGCAGGACGAGTGCTGTGTGTTTCTTGGCAATAGATTGTAGAAATAGCAAGACCTCTCTAAGTCGAGACGGCATTGAGTGTTTTGGAATGGTTTGAAGTTTTGGGGGCGAGCAAAAGCTTGGGGGTGTTTGTGTTGTGGCTGGTTGGACACTGCTCCATCTGTTTCGGATGTTGTTGTACTTGCTGTATGGCTGGACCTCAGACGCTCAGTATAGATGATGTGGTGAAGATGTATTTGAAAGGCGACAGGCAATTGCTGTCAGCTTGCTAGACACGCTGTGCTTGGTCAGCCCTCAAGCTGCTTATCGCCACGGCAGTTTGGTGGCCGTCACGACCTATGTCAGCACTCGCGTCTGTGCTTGCGCTCCCTCAGGCAACCAGACATGTTCCTAGTGAACGACTTGGCCAAAGGAGTTCCAGTGGCCTCTCGGAGAAAACATTTGCAAGACATTGGGATTTGCTTAGAACTCACCGCACACCCCGCAACCCCGAATGCGAGCTCTGAGATGCTTGCATTTATGGTGACAGTTCGTCCGAGTCCCGGATTGTCCCGAAGCTTTCTTGAACGACAGCTGCTGCCCAAAGTGCTGTGCAAGCATTGTCATTTTTCTTGGGCTCGACACGTCAAGACGTCAGACAAACTCAGGACTGCCGCTTCGTGCCCCTGCTCTCGAAGGAGCTGCCTGCCCAGCAAAGCTGGCGATTGACGTAGTGCCCATACCGTCAAGTCCGAGTGCTGGGAAGATTGAGGGTGTGTTCATGCTTCAGGATTTCCAGCGCCTGCATTCAGAAGATACTCCAGCAGGATTAAACTCCTTTCACCCTAGACCGCCAATCGCGTCAATGCAGGAGCTTCCCGTTCAAATTGCCACGACACGCTCTTTCAAGGAGAGTCGGCTTCGGGTCTTGACCGGGATTGGAACTGCCGGGGGCGAGGCTCAGGTTCACAACGGAAGTCTCGGCCGAGCATGATCTCAAGCATCAAGGCCGGAATGACTCCGCCATTTTGAAACCATGTCAGGACAGCAGCTGGCCTCAATGGTGGGAGGATCTCGAGAGCTGGGTGCCGCGTCTTTATTTCAGTGGGATGAAATCCGCAGCCGACGATTGCACGCGTTCGTTTCGTGAACCAACATCTGAACAACCAAGGGTTGGGATTCAGGATGGAGGTCTCTTGCGACCGTAGTTGATGATCGGCACCCACTCAGAAGCTTGCGACTCAACTCCGCAACCTTCCCTTAACCGGCCGAGAGGTAACCGTCTCCTCAAACCTGCAGATAAGGAGATGGCATGTCCTGCGGGCAAGGTGCTCCAGTCATTGGACATGCTCAATGCCGCCTGGCGTACCCTCATACAGCCTCGACTCTGCTGATGGTCAGCCGTGGCACGTGCCAATGGGAGTTTGGCAGGGTATGGGATGGCATTGTTTGGTTTTGTCGCCTGACTTTCCTCGCAAAAATACTGCGTGCCATGGCGTGCCTCTACTTCAAGCGCAGACTTAGCCACGAGGGTCACAATCCCAGGTTCCCGTCAGTCTTGCCGATTCACTGTGAGGTCAACAACAAGCTGCAGGTGAAGTACACCTGCGCAACGGCCTCGGGCCTCGGATGCCCGGCCAGGAAGTGGGACTTTCTGGTTTGGCTGGAGTCCAGCTTTGTTGCAAGGTTGCGCTTGGTTTGGTTTGGCTTCGCCGTTAACCAGAGCGAGGAAGAAGCAACATTGCAGCTAGAGAAGCGTCGGCAGCCGAGGACAATGCTACCCAGCTTGGACGGACCAGCAAGACGCGCACGAGTTCAAGGACAGTGAAACTAGACTGAAATTACTGAGTCCGAGGGTTAAGTCGCATCGAGTTGTCTTCAGTCGCATCGATCCAGTGTGCAAGAGGGGATCCCGCCGATCCCGCTAAAAAGCAACGATGCCACATCTGTGTGTCTCGAACGAGTGCTAGAGGGAGGGAGGGAGGGAGGGAGGGAGGGAGGGAGGAACCCTCTCCTCGTTGTTGCTTGGTTGGGTGGGTGCGTGGGCCATCGTCCCAAAGATAGTGAGAGAACCAAGGCCCTCTCCAAGAGCATCTTGAAGCGCTTGCACATCGTCTGCCCTCAGCACGACCTGCTGAGCGCAGTCCACTTCGAGCCTCTTGAGCGCGATTTGCTTACCATGAGATGACACGGCTGAGTACAGCCTCGATGCTCGATCCATGCTCCCGAAGGACCATGAATTAGGACCGACAGTCTCAGTCCTTTCGTGTACATCCCCCCAACTTGCTGCTCGTTTTGTTACAAACCTGTGATTGCTTCCGACCAAGCTCGATTGCGTAAGGAACCGCTTAAGGAACCGCTCTTCCTGTCGTGTTATGGTGAGGTACTCCGAAGGCGGCTTGTGGGCACGCTTCAAGTACGTCTGCTGCAAGGAAGCAGGCCAGGCCTGGGATCAAAATCTTGATCATTTCTGGACCCCGCTCCGTTTTCAGGCGCTCCAGTTGCCATGGTCTCCAGAGGGCCGGACCACGCCCGCGTGAACCGCCTGGCTCCAAGAATGGGGGGCGGCGGTTCAGCTTCCAACCTCAGACCTGTCAGGCCAGGAAGTAGCAATATGGCGGCTTCATTGACGGGGGCTTTCGTATCATTTAGGAGCTCTTACAATCTTGGCTGCGATGTCTCAGGGTCATACCACGCCTTGTCGGTTGAGCGCAGAGGCCTTGAGGGCACCTACTGCCCGGAGAAGGTGGCTTGCCTGCACTGAGCAAGAGATAAACCGTGTGGCTGCTCAGCTGTCTTCCAGCCGAGGTTGGTTCGTCGGGCCGCTTGGACTACATCCAGAAGGCAGGTCGGGAGCTTCCACCGCAGCAGCATCAGCCCTTCTGCATGCTGAGTTCGTCACGGAAGGATGGCCACGATCACACGCGAAAAAGAAACTGTATAAGTATCCGCACGCTTGCCGAATCCCTGCTCCAGGAAGCATGTGTCGCTGTCCTTCTGCACTGAACTCTTATTCCAAAGGTCGAGGAATGTTTGCTTGGGGAGCCTTTATGCGCAGCAGGCGTGGGGTGGCTGGCAGACAAAAAAGCTCGCGAAGTTCCTCTGCAAAAGCTGCACTGGCTGTGTGCCCACGGATCAGGTCGAGGATTTGAAAGGTTGCGGTCTCTGGCTGGTTTTCGAGACAACTGAGACCTAAATTGAGAGTGTGGTGTACGGATGTCGGGGTTGAGGAGCTGCATATGTAAAGAATGTTGGAGCCATGTCTGCACTTTGGAACTACGTTAGTCGTGTCTGCAGCGGACAGATCCTAGAAGAGGCAGTTGCTTGAGAATGGCAGCAGGTGTCTGTGCAAGAAACCGTAATTTGAGCAAGCTACGAGTGTTTGTTCAAGCCGCGCGCATGATGAGCAGAAGGCATGCACAAAGCCACCCTGCAGCGCGATGCAGGAAATTTGAGCACAGATTCCGAAGTGTCAAGGTTGACTTTCAGCGAGGTCACGGGCAAGTGGTGCATTGGAAGCACGGGCCTCGGACAGATGCAGGTTTGCCGCAACGTTTGCCGCTGTGTGCACGAGCCCTGGCCGTTGCAGGTGATTGTTCGAGCCCGGGTGACAGCGTGGAGCCGATGGGCTTCTTGGATTTATGTGGCGACGTAAGGCCTTCAGGCCTGCTATATTTAGAAGGTCCGATCCATGCCATGGAGACAAAGGCAGATGTCAGTTTGATTAAAAGGTGCGAAATTGTGCTGAAATGACAGCGTGTACGAAGCCTGTTATTCTGTTCAAGCTACTGTTGTACAGCCTAGCCCTAGGAGAGCAGCAGCATAGACTGTGTGTGTGACCGACGGCAGGGTTTCCTTTTTGGGACCAAGGCTCGAACGGGAAAACGACCGGTTGTAGCGGAGCCAGTGCCTCACTCCAGGCCCGCGCTCTTTAGTTTGCGTAGCTCGCCCATCGTGGTGAGACTCCCTCCTCGCTGCCGCCATGGCCGCTGGAGGGGGATTGAGGTTCAACCCCAGATCTCAAGACGAACCCGGGCTTACTTGGAGGCCCAGGGGACTTAGTAAGTCGGTTATAAGTAGAGTCATAAGTACCCTAAATGGAGTTACCCTAGTTCTAACCCTACTTATAACCAACTTACTAAGTCCCCAGGGCCTCCAAGTACTCAAGCCGGATGCGAGTTTCATGCGATGGCGAAGTTCCACGCAACGAAGGCCGAAGAGAGGATTTCTCTCGATGCTAAGCTTGTCGAGTCGCTTCGAGGATGAGGAGCCCAAGCAGTCACTAATCATTTCCGATTGGCTCCCGAACGGTTCCTGAATGGTTTACCCAAGACAAGGCCGGTTAGTTCTGGGAATGCTGAAGTCGCCCCCATGGCCTCTTCGCGCTGGGAATAAGTGTGGGCTGCATCTCGAACAGTTCCGAATCGGTTCGAACTGTTCGGGATGCAGCCCACAAGCATTCACAGTGCTAACGGCCTTTGCTTTGGACCAACCGTTCGAGAGCCGGCCGGAGATGATTCGGAACTGCTCGGGACCGAATCGGAACCGGTTCGGAACCAATTCGAACCGGTTCGGAACCGGTTCGGAACCGGTGCGGAACTGGTTCGGAGCCGAGTCGGAGCTGGTTCGGAAGTGTTCGGTTTTGGCAACGTTTTGGTCACGTCGCCAATCCAAGATGGATTCGCCGCTAGTTTGTACAGTCCACACTCCCGATGCAGGACGACCCTGATTGGGTATCAAGGAGTCAACCGACCGATTTCGAGGCATTTTTAACGAATCACGCTTGCGCCTTTTCGGCTTTCGGGTGCTTCAGCCGGCAGCCTCCGGAGCAGCATTTCAGCAGTCTGTGAGCAGTTTCCCAAACAGACTGCGTCTATTGGCTTTCCCGTCAACTCTTTCCATTTCCAGTTGGATATGTTTCGTTCATGTTGCATTTACATTCTGTTCCACTGCATTTTCTATCACCGTTACATGCAAGGAAACAACTTTGCGGGTGAAGCGCATCTTCATTGCGGAAAGCTGGGGATGGTCTTACTGAGAAAGGCAAGACTCAGCTTAAGAACGTTGCAGGAATTCTTTCCTGGGTCTCACGACAGTGTAGACCAGACCTTGCATATCGGGTGAGCCGAATGCAATCCGCCAGCAAAGGAAGTACAGTTGCTGACCTCCGAGAAGCAAACAAAGCCGCCGACTCGACGCCACAGAGAGGATTAGTCTACAAGTTCGGTGTTTTGGATTGGGATGACCTTATCTCCACCTTGAACCAAGAAGACTCCGTGGAGAGTCAAGGCGCAAGGCTTATTTGCTTGGGCACGCCTAGCTTGATGTCATCAGATGGGGGTCATGTGCACCTCATCATTCTTGCTTTGACAAAAGTCAGAAGAGTTTGTAGGTCTACGTTGCAACATGAAGCCTACACCCTTTAGACCGATCGATTCAGAGCAGCCGTTGCGGATCTAGTTGGCAAATTAGACTGTAAGAAATGGGAGGCTAGCTCAGCAGCCTTCATCAGGCAGGTGCGGTTCACGGACCGCCGCTCACTAAGCGACACACTCCGAAACCGGAAGATGACAAAGCAGGAGGACAAACGACTCAGCATAGAGATCGCGTCCCTAAGAAGAGTCCCTGTGGAGAGCCAGGGGTGAAACATGCCGCGATCCATATTATTTGGACGACCGTCCCAAAGAGCCTACGGACGAAGTCCGATGGATTGATACAGATGTTATGGTTGCAGATGCACTGACAAAGGCTATGGAAAGCACCAACTTAAGTTAATTGGGTGTCTCTTTATTACCTACTGGAACATAGAGCAACCAGTTGATTCTGCTATCAAGAAGAAAGCAAAGCAGCCTCAAAGAAGCAAGACTGCGGCTCCTGCGGAACCACTTGAGGGGATGGACTAAACCACCCATATGTGAGTTCTTTACACCGCAGGCTTCTTCACCAAAAGAGTCACGGGTGTGAAAGTGTGCTCGGTTGACAGCGTTTACGAAGCCTGGTAGTCTGTTCAAGCTATTGTTGTACAGCCTAGCCTTCGGAGAGCAGCAGAATAGACTGCACGTGACCGACCGCAGCGGCCCCTCTTTTGGGGAACGGGAAAACGACTGGTTTTCACAAAAAGTAAAATTAAGGGTAAATAGAAGGTAAAATAAATGTGAAGTTGTAACGTGAAGAAAAATGTAAAAAAGTAGAAAGAAAAACGAACGAAGTGAAATAAAGACAGAACCAGGTCAAACAAAAACGTAAAGAAAAGGTAAACAAAAGAAAAGTGGGAAAAACGCGAAGACCGCACAGGCCGCGTGACTCGGCTTTTCCTGCAAAATGCCACGTGCAGGCCAGGTGATCCGGGATTTCAAACACACACACCTGTGCTCTTTGCGTGGGTTGTACCTTGTTTTTATTTTTTCACCTTCGTCTTACCTTTTTGTTTTCATTTCCCGTTTTTTCACCGTTCTTAAACCCTTGTTTTACATCTGGTTTTCGCCTTGCGCAAAGGAAAGTGATAAGGACGCTCGCCCGCCAGCCTTGCCCGCCTGCCCCGGCTGGTGGGCGGGAATGGGAGTGCACGAAAATCCGAGTCGCTCGGCCTGTGCCTGGTTTTCGCCTTTTTCCTATCTTTTGTTTACCTTTTTCTTTACCTTTTTTTCACTTGATTCCAGCATTAATGCACCTGTTTTTTAGCTTCCTTTTACCTTTATTTTGCTTTTTTTCTCAACAGGGCTGTTTGGGCCGCCTCCATCGGAACGGTCCTTCTAATCCTATATGAGTATGAGTCTGGTCTGAGGAGTGGTGTACATGGAGTGGTCAGATTTGTGCACTCAGGTTTTGAGGTTTGTTGTGATTGTCAGTGATAGTTGGGTTTACTGCATGCATGGCCGTGAAGGAAATACAGACATCTCATAGAATTGAGGTTCGACTGCCACAGCTCCAGCAACGTGTAACATGTGATGCCAGACTTCCCGCCAGAACCAGAGCAAGTCTTCTCATTTCTACATCAATATCTCCATCGCATCGCTGGCTGGCACTTCCGCATGAGTTTCAACCCATGTTCTGGCAAGTGTTCATGCACTTCTGTTGGCAGAATGGCAAGCTCAGTGCCAGCAAGTCACAAACGGCAGCTCAGGCCTTGCCCAGCTCAGTCCGGACAGATGCATGCGCACGCACACACACACACACACACTTAGGCTTGGCAAGAGCTGATGATGCGAACCTCGAGCACCCTGATGCAGAAAAAACACTTTAGTAAGATCACTTCGGAAGGCCAGAACGAAACAACAGCATCAAGGGTAAATTTCGGGCGGCCTTTACAGCAGGTACGTGGATCGAGCGACCCCGATCCATATCAGTCACAAGCATGGCCCTCTTCGTTGGACCGTCAACCATGCTTGCAAGACGGCCCCCCTGCAAACTACTGAAATGAAAGGCTTGATTCACCATGTTCAGGTGTGCACACACACACACACGCACAACATGCACAATGTCATTGCACACACCCACGTGCAGCCCACACTAAAACTAGTGCCTGCAATTCATGCACACGAGCACATCCATCCATCCATCCATCCGATCCAGGCATGCAGGAAGGCATACATACATGCACACCTGCGCACATGTGTAATGCCGGAACGCTGGAATCGAAGAACAGGACGCCGGAATCGACGAAGTCAGATCGGAACCCACCGAACCGACCAAACGAGCCGACCCACCGCCCGACCACCAACCCACCCAACTACCGAGAAACCTGACCATCCTGAGCGACCTGATCAACCCCACCCATCCCACCAGTCGCTTCGTTCCTATTTGCCTTCCTCTGCATCCGTATCGTCAGCGCTGTTGTTCGCGGCCCACCTTGATTGTTCTGAGACAACCCTACACTCTAGGGAACCCCGTGGGACCATGCAGGAATGCAGTGACAAATTCTGGCACTGCAATCGCTGATTCGCCCTGTCCATCATTATTATTATTAGCTGACTACGGCTCTTCGGTCACGGATGCGTCGCCGCAATTTCGAATCGGCCAGCTTTCGTCGATTCCGCTGTCTGGTTCTGCGACTCGGCTCCGATTCTGCTTTCCCACGCACGTACATACCTTCATACCTACATAATGGCATACCTACATACATACCCGCATCACTTTTTTCGCAGTCACAGGCAAAGTGTCCGAGTCGGGTGCAGCCTACTACGACATGCACTAATTAAAGCCCCACCTGAAAGAGGCAGTGGGCCCCTCATGGCGCCTGGGGGTTTTAGGGCCTCCCCTGACAGGCCACAAAAGCCGGCAATCCATAATGGTTTTCCGGGTATCACATGAATCCAACCATGCAGGAAAAGCTTCGCCGTGCGCTTGCAAGGAACAGCCATGTACGGTGACAGCGTATATACAGACACGCAAGAAGAGCAAAGTGTCAAGCTCTGGAGCGCCGCAGCAAGTAAGTACCACGGCGCCTAAAACATCGCAAACTGCCGTGCCGCAGCAACACAGTCAGGGAGCAATCAGCTGCAGCATTCCACGCCGGTACTCGTTGTTTCACTCGGCGAAGGGTTTCTCGACCTTCAACGCATAACCAAACGTCCAACTCTGCAAGCTGATGGATAGTCGAGTGCCTTCCAGGCTCCGGAGGAACACATAGCCAGACGTCAAACTCTGCAGACTGCT